TATTTTAAAGTCTAGATAAAGGAGAATGAGAAACAAGAAGTCTTAGATAATTCAAGGGTTATCTAATATACTACTACAGTACCACTAGTCATATTTCCCTTAAGAAAATTGTTTGATGCCTTAAGAAGATCTTAGAACCATAGAATCATAGAATCATAGAATCAGCTGGGTTGGAAAGGACCTCTAAGATCACCAAGTCCAACCCTTGATCCACTACCACTGTGGTAAGATGTATGCTCACCAAAAAAAGCATTAGTACAAATAACCATACAACCAATCATACAACTCATATTATTGAGTTTATACTGAAATGGGGGACAAGCACACAAGCACATTCATAAGACTGACATTTGTGTGGCATCCAAATATGTAACTGCCCCTTTTGCCTTTGAAAATTCCACCATTACATTTAATTTCAGTGTATTTTTCCTATCATTAAACTTCCATCTGAAGTTCACCTTCAAAAAAAAACCCTAAAACACTTTTCCTAGAAGACACTGGTTTAAAGAAGCAAAGTCATGTAAAACAACAAAGTTTTATAACTGCAAAACCTACCAACTATGACTGATTTTGGCCTCCTGAAACAAGTATTTAAATATGAAATTATAAAATAAAAGGATCACAAAAAGGAAAGTTTTGTGACTCAGTAAATGCATGTTATTTTATACATCTAGTCATTGAGCACTTGCACTTCTACAGCTTTTTAAAGTCACAAAAAAAGGAAGACATATTTTACAGTACCTTCTGGTTTACTCTGTCTGTGCAGTCATCAGAGAAAGCAAGCTATTTCTCCTATATTTTTTATGTTAATTATATGTATTGAAGCAATTTGATGAAAGCTTTGTTTCAGTATATTTCTAACATACAATCTTTAATAAATAATATTCCCAATCTGGGAATTGATATATAATATTATAAATATTTTGATTGATTTGTGTCATTGGATTAACCAAAGTCTTACAGTAGCTGGTTTCTCATTTTCAGACCTATTTTGAAGTTCGAAGTGTCCTCTGGTTCTTTTTCAAGACTTTTCTCTTGCTAGAAAATAACTTAACACACATATTCATTGGGACAATTGAATTGGAAAAACTACAGGCTGGGAACTCATTCAAGGTAAATTATTTAAAAGTTTTAATGAATAATTGGTTACAACATTACAGTAGCAGATACATTATTCTATTTCATACGTTCTTTTTTTCAATGTAGAGGCAGCATTTGCTACACTCTGTTTCATGAAACAGAACAACTACATTGTAAAAGGTACAGTATAAATGCAATGTTAATGTTTGTTGAGACTAACCTTGTATTTAATGAAGTCTTTACTTTCCTATTTGAAAGTGTTTGATTTATTTAAAAATAAATAGCAATTTAATAGCATTTTTATTCTTAAAACAACAGGAGAATATAATCAAAAAGTTTAGTCGGCCATACATTTTGACTGGCTGAATATTTGTAGGTGTTACAGCTTTGTACTATATGACTAGAAAAACAGAGTAAATTAACTTAGAAGATTAAAGCCATAATAAAAAACTGAACAGAAACAAAAAAATACTGCTTAAAAAAAAACCCCACACCCCACAGCTTAGTTTTCTATTTTTAAAGGGTTTGGTTGTTGGTTGTAGTTTGGTTTTGTTCGGGTTTTTTTGGTTTGCTTTGCTTTATTTTACTAAAATGAAAAAAAGGATTATGCATTGGCATAAAAGAACTTTATCTTCCCCTTATTTTTTCCCCCAAAACTCGGAAGTAAGGGCTCTATATGTTCTTTCCTTCCTCTTTATTCTTTTCACCATGAATTCACCTTCTGCTGAAACTGAAACCTGTGCAAAGCCACAGAAACTTTGAACATTCAGAATTGCCTGTCTCCTGCATGTTTGTTTAGTATTGGGGAAGGAAAATACATTTTGCATTGCACACCATCAGTAAGTGACTGTGCTCATAAAAGTAGCAGACAATATGAATGGTTGTAAATAGCAAAATTAAGGAAAGTAGTGACAAGAGTGGTTGATAACTGAAACACTTTTCTCAGAGAACAGAATGTAGTCAAACTAGTCCAGGTATTTAGCAAAGGTGACTAAGGGAAAATATATGAATTGAGTTTTCGACCATATGAGTAGTGCTGTTCTGTAAAATCAAAATGTTATTTTTGTCTACCTTGTGTCTGAAATCTGAATTCATACATCTGGCTAACTTTGAAAGTTAGCTGGCTAATTTTGAAAGAAATCATAATTTTTAGTTTCCTTAATGAAAAACACACTTAGCTATAAACTCTTAAAGCTTTGAAATGGTATATAGTTTTATTTTTTATTCTTCCCCAGGACACTACTGAAGAATTACAGCCATAAAGTTATGTAACACAGAAAGTATTAGACAGATTATGTGTTTTGCTATCTAAGCCTTAAAATAACACAGATGGGAGGATTGTTCAACTGCTAACATGCATTGACACTTTTTTGAGAAGGACAATGTTCTGAAGTTTATAGATTGAGATTCACAGGGGAGAGAAAATGGCAATGGATATTTCATTGCACATTGTAGCATGCACAAAGAATATTTCTTCCATATTTTTCTCTCAATAAAAATATGAAATAAATCTAAGCAGATGCAGGCGAATTCTAATATGAGTTCAGTTTTGCTAAGTTCTAAGATGAACTCATCTGGAAGTTATTTATTTCCAGGAGAAATTGAATGCCACACAATGAGAAGGATTAATTTTCAGGCCAGATTTTTTTCATTAGTGAGAACAAACTTACTTTTACTGTGTTTTAAGAATTTCCACATATAAAGCAATTAGGTGCAAACCCAAACTGAAATGCAGTACTTCTGAGTACAGGTTATGCTGCCTGACAATCTGATCTTGATCAGTCAAAATATGTACTCCACAGAAAACATTATACACTAACTTTTCAATAGATTCTGAGGGGTTTTTTTCAAATTTGAGAATCTTTATTAAAACTTCAAGTATGTATGAAGGGATCAGTGACTGAAAATGTTATGAAAAGTCACAAGAAAAAGCATAATTCTTTACTATATTAGTGTGTCTATGTCTTTACATACATGTGTGAGCTCCATGTGTGTTTACTCTCCAAGGACAATGAGAACAGTTAAAAAAGTGCTGAGCAGAAGCAAATATATCCAACCTTAGCACTGTTTGCTAATGCAAAGGTTAGTGATAAGTGCTATGTTGACAATGTTTCACATGTATTTGGAGCATGGATTGAACAAGACCGTGTCTGCCTATGACATTTAACAGTTACCACCACTACATGTTGTTACCGTTTGGAAGGTTTCCATCCATCACAGTCATCTATTCCTTAAAAGATTTTAATAGAAGTGCATGTTCATCAGGTACAAGGAGAAAAAGAAGAATAAACTTGATGATATTTGCTCATAAATTTCATACTTGTTCACAGCGGAGAAGTAATGAGATTTCAGAATGCTGCTTGCTATTGTAGATAACAAGAGATTTTCTTGAATGTGAATTCTTCTGCAATTTTACTTTTTTCTTTCTATTTCCTTAGAATCTATTCTTTGTTCTCACAGACACATCTTCCATCATCCTATTCAAATGAAAAGTTCAGTTAAATAGTTTGGTTTTCATTACATTTACAGTATGTGGCTCCTCATAACTAATTGTTCCTTAGTGGATAGCCTTCATTATGTAATGTCATCATGGTTAGGCTTTATGTAATGTACTTCTACAAAAAAGGGATAAAATTAAAAATGCTAAGAGACAAAATGAGTTCTTTGTAATGAAAGGGAAAGATAAAAAGAATCTTTTATGAATGTATTATAGAACAAAGTAAAATATATAGGTTAATTACTTATGGGAAAGAGAACAAATTATGATTTAAACAAAAGGGGCTTAAGTCTTTACAAATTTAATTGTGTCCAAACACATTGCAACACTAATCTTAGCACAGAAATAGGACTGTAGGCCAGAATATGGAAAGAAGACACCGAGGAACACTTTAGTTCAAGTCTTCAGTGCTTGAGGAACTGTGGAATTAAGGAAACTAACACTGCTTTAGAAACATTGAAATAATCTGAATTTCTAGTTAAGCCCAAGTATTTCCTTCTAAAAGGAAGAAAAGAACACTTAAAATTGGAGGGAAAGGAAAATAAATATGAGAGAAGGCAATTAAAAAAAAATGAAATAATGTTCTCCTCAGATGGTCTGCAAAACAGTGTTAATAAATAACCAGAAGATATATAAGTGGTAAAAAGCACCTCCTATTGGTCAATTAAATATTTTGTCATTATCAAAACATCTTCCTTTCTGTTATGCTAATAGAGTAATGAGCGAGGCGGAAGAAAATACTATAATATTTACTAACGTCATAGTAAGATTTGGGGACTGCAAAGAAAGACTGTTGTCTTTCATGAGCAACCTCACAAAGTATGGTTCACATTTTATCGGTGCAAAATTGGTGTCCAGATGGATGAAAACTTACATTTAGTCTTTATTATTGATCCACTGTCTGTTGCACAGATTTTGAGTGAGGTACTTCCAGGATTAGTTCTATGGCTGATTTTATTTAACATTTTCATTCATGATTTAGAAGTTGATATACAATAATGTGTACAGGTGGTGTTAAAATAGGAGAGGTTATGAGTGCTTTGAAAGATCAGAATTCACCGTGATCTTGAGAAAATGGAAAACCGATCTGAAATCATCAATAAAAACAAAGTATAAATGTCACAATTAAGAAGCATAAATAAAATGTGTGCAAATATGAAATAAAATTGTCTAAGCATTAATGCTGCCAGAAATAATGTACAACTGCAGTGAGGTCAAAAATTAGACAAGATTTTATGTGTTGCTCTGTCAAAATGGCAGTTACATTCCAAGATTCACTTAGACTTAAGTATTTTGAATCACGTGTGTAGGATAACATTTCTGTTTGCATTTGTTCACTTCTGGATCTTCTCCCACGGGGCACCAGTTCTGGATCTCCTCCCACGGGGCACCAGTTCTGGATCTCCTCACATTGTGGGGTGCCATTTCCGACGGTTGAATGTGGATAGGGAGGGGGGAACTCCAGCACCAGGGATTTCTTCAGGTCCTGAGCCTGGAGGGGTTAGGTGCTCCCCCCTCCCCCCCACCACGAGGTCCCATGGCAGCCACAGAGACAGCACACAGGATGTGGAGAGGAGGCAAGAGAGCATTTATTGTTGGGGTGGTTACATTTATAGGTCCTAGGAGGATTCACAGAGTAACCAATTACAGGTCTCAAGGGGCTTACAGGAACACCCAGTCGCAGGAAGGGGTTAACAATCAATAGGAAGGGGTTAACAAAGTCCAGTGAGAAGACTTCTTGATATCTTCTCAGGACATTCCTGAGACAGAGATAACACTTGCCGTGGGGGGTCTTGGGAAAAAGAAGCATGAGTTAGCAAAGAGACTACGAAAGGCCATTTTGAAACATGTTTAAACAACAGTTTCTCATATACTGCAGATCTACTGCCACAGTCACTGGCACTGTCTAAAAAAGAATCATTATTTACATTGGGCATATCACTTGTATTCTGAATAAGCAAATGGGACATGCACCCTTATGCCAGGGATTGTCTGAAAGAAAGTGTAATGTACAAATTGAGATAAAAATGGGAGCATAATAATAACCTTCTAAAAACAATTAATCGTAAAATGGTTTGGGTTGGAAGGGACCTTAAAGATCATCTAGTTACAAACCCTCTGCCAAGAGCAGGGACATCATCTATTAGCCCAAGTTGCTCAAAGCCCCATCTAACCTGATCTTGAACACTTCCAGAGATGAGACATCCACAATTTCTCTGGGCAACCTGTTCTAGGGTCTTACCAACCTCACAGTAAAAAATTTCTTTCTAATATATAATCTAAACCTACTCTCAGTTTGAAGACATTCTCTCTTGTCCTATTGCTACATGTTCTTGTAAATAGACTCCTTTTAGATACTGGAAGGCTGCATTTAGATCACTCTGGAGCATCCTCTTCTCCAGGCTCAACAACCCCAAATGTCTCAGCCTGATCTCGTAGCAGGAATGCTCTCTCCCTCTCTCTAATCAGCTTGGTTGCCCTCCTCTGGACTCCCTCCAACAGCTGGATGCAGTACTTCATGTGGGGTCTCATAAGAGAAGAGAAGAGGGACAGAATCACCTCTTGTAACCTGCTGGTCACATTTCTTTTGATACAGCCCAGGATACAATTGGCTTTCTGGGCTGCAAGCATACACTACCAACTCATGTCGAACCTCTCAGCCACCAGCACCCCCAAGTCCTTTTTGGCAGGGCTCCTTCCAGTCTGGCTTCCATTGTCTGGATTGCATTGATGCTAGGGATTATCCTGACCCAGGTCTTGGGTCTTGCCCTTGGCCTTGTTGCTGTAATGTAAGTTGTAAGTTCCTTACAAAGGAAATGTCTTAGCAGAGAAACATACCAGCTCGCTAAGTGACAAAAGGTATTTCAGCTTGATAGTAAGAGGAAACAGTCTAACTGTAATGTTGGTCCAGAGTGCAATAGGCTCCATGGCATTGTAGAGAAATATTCTTAAATAGGATTTTAAAGGAAAATTCTGACTATAAGTAATTTTACTTTGGTGAAGAAGGATTGACCACATGCTCTTTTGAGGTCCTATCTGGGTGCTTCTTCTTCTAATTCTATAATAAACTTATATTTAATTTTTTTGATTGCATATCACCTAGGAAGCTAAATAATTGAATAGGATCCCTGTTGTGAGAGATTTAATTTTTAGTAATGTGATTTATAATTATATTATCCTGCAGAAATATTATTTGATGTGCAAAATAGAAATTTTTTCTTTACTTAAATTGTTAATAGTATTTTGTTTATCCCAAATGTTGTTTTATGCTTGGTGATGGGTAACTCTAAGCTCCTTTTGTACTTCTATTTGTTTTGCAATATTGTGTTAATGTTAAAAAGTATCAGCTGACTTAATGATAAAAGGGGGAAAATAAAAACCGTTTTTAACCTGCAAGTTAATTCAAACATCAGTCACTTTGAAAACTGAAAGTTTCAGCTTACATCAATTATTTCCTATCTTACTTTTAAACTATGTTTTTTAAAATTTACCTAAATAAAATTAATTCATTTGTTGTTATACAGTATCTAGTTACCTGTTATAGATATTGTAGATAATTTTATTTTTTTTATAACTGTTTTTCTCTGTCCTACTGGAAATGAAATGCTTTAAGTACACACTGATGAATAGGTAAATTACATAGAAAAGAATACCCTCATGAGTATACACAATTTCAATTTACTAGTAAACCATATTGGAAATCATTAATAGACTAGAATAGAGTGTATCCTTTAAAATATAAGTATTTTCTTTAAAAAATAAGAAATTATTCAAGATGACTACTGTGAAAAATTACTAGTCTAACTTTAGAGAATATGAAGTTGCCCCTTGTAAATACACTTAAAAGAACATGACATTATGACATGACTCCATTTAGTGTTTTATTAGACTGTGGAGGCCAGACTACTGGCAGAGGCAGGAGGTATGATGTTATAGGCAAGAAAACAAACTCCCTGACAGCACAGCTTTGTCGCTGTTACCCATCACGCTATCCACAGCTTATGTTAAATGAGTGCCTAAAATGTTCCCAAGGGAACTCTGAACATTGCAAGCTTGGCAGCCAAAAATGCTTACAGACAGCCCTGCCCATCACATGTTATAATCTTTCTCTTTTCATATCAAACCCCAGTGTAGTGTTTTTCCTGCAGGGGCATTTTCCAGTCCACAGAATATACGGGGTATTTTGCAGTTCACTACTGCCTTCTATTTCCCATTCCTCTCTTCTGGACTGTTTGCATTCACAGACTTCATATGAAATCTTCATCCTAATGTGACAAAATATTGCTAAAAATGGAAAAGAGGAATTTTGCACTTGTTGTTGGATTTTGTTGTTGATAGGAAAGGCTAAGGACTAATTCCACACAGATGTCTAACTGCCATTTTGCCCTTTTAATACATCCAAAACTATTCAGATCTTTTGATGTTTGACCTGGTGGATGGCTTTACAATCCAGAAACTTAAAGGTATTTATTTTACTGAGGGGGAATTGCAAAAATGTCTGGCTTTTACTGCAAATATTTTTTGATTAATAAAACTACCTGGAGGTTTAAAACATCTGAGGATCTAGCACAGCACTTGAGCATTTTTACTCTTGCTGCTGAGTCTTAGTTCAGCCGCTGTCTAAGTGTTTGTGTCTTCCTCAAACTGTGTCTTTCTTTTTTTGCCCAATCTAGGGTGCATTTCAATAAATCAACCTGTGTGGAAAAGAAATTGTACTGATATTTTAGTAGTGGTAGTACTAATTATGAACATTGCAGCAAGAACAGCAGTGATCCCTGGGAATTAAAAAGAACTGGATATACCTCCCATAAGCAGTGACAGCATCACTTATGGTCAGGTGCATGGATACACTGCATTGAGTCTTTTTTAGCCTCTTCTGTGAAATTTTTCCAATTTAAAAAAAAAAAAAGGATTCATGATGATATATTATTTTTTTTAAAGAAAGTAAAGAGTTTTGAAAAGCTGATGTTGGACTTTTTCACTGGACAGAGATACCTGGATTGTGCATTCAGCTTTAAGACTTGACATATTTTGTGCGAATCTACTCTGAAGAAGGTAATCCAGGTGCCTCTGCATATTATGGGAGCTCTGGAAATCCTCAACCTCCTCCCTTTTGTTTTATGTGTCAGATGCATGAGGAATGTATGTTGTGTTATATTTACGCAAAACTGTCTGTTACCTTTTTTAATATAATATAATATCTAAACTCTTTTATTGAGGCTTTTTTCCTGAAATTTTGTTTTTTAAATTTTAGCCTGCAGTAAAAATGTTTTTTAGCTGATTTATAAATATCTAAAAATAAAACTAATATGATACATGAAAATATTGACAAATCATCAACTCCAAGGACACTGGGAACATTGCACAAATTAGATCTTGATATGTTTTCCTACAAGAATGTTTGCCTTCTGCTCTCTGCAGAAGAAAAGAATGTTCTTGTTTCTCTATACTGTTGATATTGCAACATTAAAATATTTGAACATGCGAATGACCTCTTAAACACAATTTCTTGTGAATGATCTATGTAGCAGATGCTAAAACACCTAGATTGTCTCTGAATAAAATAGGTAGGTTCTGTCTCCATTGAAGTCAGTGGTAAAATGTTTTTACTCTTATGGGACCATTCTTTTAGTAGAAGACTAACAGCGAGAGATGTTAAAAAAAATGTTCCTTTCTATCAGGATTATGAATATGATTTGGAGTAGCACATGGACATAATTTTTCTGACTTAAACTAGTCCATAATGAATCAAGATTATTTTTTGCTTTGAAAAAGCTTTCCATAAAACTGTTTGAAATGACAAAATATGTTAAAAGCATATATAGCTGCAACTGTATTTGATATATCATTATTTATGCATGTGTATATTTATTCTGTGTATTATGTATATTTATGTGTACCTTATATTTATAGAAGATATATAAATACATCATAAAATCATATTGTATGTTTTATGCTTAACGTGCATATATGGAGATTGTGCATGTATATAACTAGGTATGGCAAATTCTTTATAGGTAAATCCTTATTATGATAATTTGTTTTTTCTTATGATAATGCTTATATTTAAAGAAATTAGATTAATTTTCTTAGGAATTATTAATTTTCAATTTTATGTGAAGTTATTATATTTGTGTACATATGTATAAGTTCATTTACAAATTTTCCATACCTGTATATCTTATCGCTTTATTTTTTACAGTTAGGGTAATCTCATTATTTTGTCCTGTTAATAAAATCTGATTTTGGGGGGTTCTTCCAGGTGCTACAGATTAGGCATTTAACACATCACCATTGTACACAAGAATACATAAAAAATAATTGGTAAATGGTCTTCTTTTCTAGTATTCTTTGCCTTATCAGCAATAATAATGTCATTGAAAGTTAGACTTATCATGCAAACATTTCACTATTCCTCGGCAACAGTCAGAATCTACATCCTGCCTTCTTCAGAAAATGGAAACTGTCAGTAAAAATCAAAAAGCACCAATTAACCACTCAAAGCTTTCACTTTTGCTGAACTTGTTAATGCACACATAGTATCCTAGCTTTATATACATCTTATGACATTGTTTGTGTCCACTTAAATTAGCCTAAATT